TGGGGGTTGCTATGAGTCGAACCAGACTCGATGGCAGCTGAGTGGGGTTTTTTAGTTTGAGGATCATTTCTGGAGTCCCTGTGCAGTGCGAACGGTTAAGCTGCTAACCAAAAGGTTAGCCTCCAAAGAAAGGCTTGGTGACCAGCTTCTGAAAGGGTCCAGCCACAGAAACCCCATGGAGCACAGTTCTACTCTGAACACATGGGGTCGCCATGAGGCAGAATCAACTTGATGGCATCTTTTTTTCCCTCTTCTTCTTTTAGGATCCCTTGTGGCTCAATTTTCCTCTTGCTTGTGTGGCTCAAAACCCCTCCTGCCTGGGCTCTCTGCTCTGGGCAGGCTGGGCTCCTTCATTTCCTGGGTCACACACCCTGAACATTACAGCCTCCCTACCCCTGGCTCTGGTAGCATAGTGCTTAAGGCACTTGACTGCTAACCAGAAGGCTGGCAGTTCAAACCCACCAGCCACTCCTTGGAAGGAAGGTTGGGCATTCCTACTTCCGTAGTGATACTGCCTCGGAAACCCAAGGAGGGGTCGCTATGAGTCGGGGCCAACTCGATAGCAAAATAACAATAACAACCCCTGGCTAGGCTGGTTCTGCTCCCCGATGCTGCCTGCTCCTTTCTGCTGATCCAGAGCCTGCCTACCTCTACAGAATAACACAGAACCTTATAATGGGCAATTGATGTGTTGGCCATTATAGTTAAATAAAGTAATTTTAATAATATATCCAAAAAAGGTAATTATAAAGACTATATACAGCCCAAGCAGGGGAGGGGGGCTTATAGTAATAATAAAAAATATATACCCTATGATTAAAACCATATTAACAATGTGTACACCTGAGGAAGGGAAACAGCACAGAGAAAATGGCTGTTTCAGGAGTGGGAGTCAGGGTGGGTTGTGATTATTTTTCAAGTTGCTTTACTATTTCTGCAATTTTCTTTCTACTATAAACAGCCCTTTGGAATTTAAAACATCTAGTTCTCTCAAACCCTTCTCATTCCACCTCCTCCTTGAAGCCTCCCTAATGCCAGCCCGTGAGGACCTAGCCTTATTTGATTCCTATAGCACAAGTTTCTACCATACTATTCAGAAAACACAGAAGACAGCAGAGTTTCTAGAGAGGGCAGGGCATGGGCTCTGGAGGTCGTCACCAGCCCTGGTTCACTGGCTTTCCTGGTCCCTGGCTGTTGGCCCCAGGCAAGTTACTGGACCCCTCAGAGCCGCAGCTTTCTCATCTGTAAAACAGTGACAGCATTCCTACCCCGTAGGGCACTGGGAAGAACCCCTGAGATAACAGAGCTAGCATTTAGCACAAGGTGGGGTTCCTATCTGCTCTCTGACGTTATCATTATCACTACCGTGGCTTACAGCTGCTGTTAGTTGCCACTGAGTTGGCTCTGACTCATCACTGCCCGTGTCCAACAGAGTGAAATGCTGCCCTGTATGTGCCCGAGTCCTTGGCTGTAGCCACTGTGTATGCTGAGTGCCTTTCAGCCCTAGACCGAACAATACTCTGATGTGATCCTCTTTCCCTGCTCTCTTGCACAAAGGATTTTCATCAGCTAATTTTCAGGAGCTCTGGCAGTGTGCCTAAGGCATTTGACTGCTAACCAGAAGGCTGGTAGTTCAAACCCACCAGCCACTCCTTGGAAGGAAGACTGGGCAATCTATTTCTGTAGTGATACCACCTCGGAAACTCAAAGAGGGGTCGCTATGAGTTGGATCCAACTCAACAGCAGTGGGTTTAGGGATAATTTTCAGAAGTAGATTGTCAGGGCTTTCTTCCTAGTCTCTCTCAGGCTAGACACTCCACTGAAACCAGTTTACCATAGGTGACCCTGCTGGTATTTGAAATACCAGTGGAACAGCTTCCAGCATCACAGCAATACACAAGCCACCACAGTACAGCCAAACTGAATAAGGACTTGGCATATCAATACAGTATACAATATGTATGTGGTGTAATACACTTGTCTTTCCAAACTGACAGTCAACTTGAGGTCAGGACCTTGCACCTCTTGGAACGGTTAGTCCCGTGATGGACACACCTGGTCCCTCTCCCCTTGCTCTCTTGCACACATGCTCATTTTGCTTCCCTCCAGGTATACCAGGTGGACATGACCCTGCTCAAGTAATAAGACTCAACAGAGGAAGCCTGACATTCACCTTATGCTGTAGTGTGGGACACTGAGGCAGAACATCACCCCAGCTCCTTCTGCAGGCCACCAGCCATGCCAGGGCCTTCTGCCCAGGCTAGGAGACTCCTGGTAAGAGACCTGGGGCATGGTACAGAGGAGAGAGTACTGGCCTTGCCTGCACATTGTCAGCAGGGCCCCCATGGCTAAGGTAGTTCCCCTCTAAGTGCCCCAGTGTCCTCACCTGTAAAATGGGGAGGACACAAGTGCCATTTTCTTTGCAGGGCTATTACATGAGACAATGTCTGGGGATGGCCTTCCAAGTACACAAATGCTGGCTGGACACCCATGGTGGTGGTTTGCACTGTGTCTGTCACTAAATGCTGTCCTTGTCCACCCCACTCCATTCCAGAGATCGCCTTCCCCCACTGCCACACCAGGCAAACCCAGAGAAGCAGATTCACTGCAGGAGCAAATGCCAGAAGCTTAGGAAACAGGTTCTCTGGATGGCCTGTGTGGGACAGCTGAGAGAGGAGAGAGGGCAACAGATGGGGTCTTCTCCCCCCGTCTGTCCTTCAGGCCACCAGAACATCCCCAAGGCCTGGGCTCCTAGCACAGGGCCGCCTTCCGCTCCTCCCTCGGCACCTGCAGAAGAGCAACAGGACTGAGTGCCAGAAGCTGGTGCCAATCCCCTTCTGTGTCCACGTGGTAGGAAGGAAGGTGGAAGAGAGCTGTGGGAACAGACCATTCCATTGCTCAGTGGGACCTAGTCACGTGGGAACTGCTTAGTGCAGGCCCTCCCTGCAGCCTGGCCATCCTGAGTGGCTCTCAGGGCAGTTACAGGGTGAATAAGACTTTATCAGAACCCCCCCCCCCAATATGCCCCTAGATGGGACACACAGGAAGGCTGGTAGATGGTGCTGTGGCGGAGAGCAAGGGGCAGTGCATTTGGGGACCTGAGTCCTGGGAGAACCTCAAAGCCTCCCAGAGGCCTCTGACAGAACTGCCCGCTCCCAGGCCCAGGTCAACTGGCAGCAGGAAGGTTTGTGTTTCTTTTAATATCAACTTGCAGGCATTTCACATTGCCTGAGAAGCTTAAACACAAAAATGTTTTCCTTACCAGACTGTGCTTTCTGCTCTGCCAAACATAACCTGGCTTCCTCCCCTTCCCCCACCGCCTCCATCTGCTCCTGTCTCTAGGATGGGATGATTTATGGTATTCTTCCGCTGTGTGGCTGGCCAGTGAGAAGCAGGGGAGCAACAGAGCTGACGTCTAGGTGGGGAGAACAACGGCTCCTGCAATCAGGACTCCAGAGGGCTCTGGGGCCAAGTACCCACTGAGCTAGCTGCCCTGGACACCCTTTCTAACTCTTTCCATTCCAAAGCCACCAAATAGGACAGGTAGTGTGGCAGCCGGTCATGTCTCGTGGCTGGGAGTATCTGGGACAGTCTGGGTCCCAGTCCAGAACCCTCTCCTGCCTAACCTTCTGCCCATCCCAGATGTGGCAATGGGGCTCCCATCCCTATAGAAAGTAGGTTTCAGGGACTGAATTTAGACAGCTCTTTCTCATCAGCCCCCACTTCCTAAATAATGAAGGACTGGCTTCTGGTTACCTAGCAACACTGTCTCCCTGGCGACAGTGCTGAGGAGCAAGGTACAGGTCTCATAGCGTCAGGAAGGGGCGTGCTCAGTAATGTGGAGTGATGTGAGGCAGATGGCCAAAGGGTGCCATTCTCCCTATTCAAACACTGGAGCTTGAGACAGGTGTGGAGAGTGAGAGGTCCAGAGGCATCCCCAAAGGGTAATGCCATCAATACCTGTTAAGAGCCAGATAGCAAAAAGCAGCCTCAACAATGCATCAGAAGATTAACATTTTCTGTGAAAGATCATTGTTCAGACCCTTTTTGTAGACAGGGCAATTGTAGCCACACCCAGATCACCCCTGGGACGATTGCTAAGCCCAGAGCTCCTAATGCCTGGGGCTCAATACCCAGTCCAGGCCAGGTTTTACTTTTCTTGATTTTTGGGTCACTGAATCCACTCCCAAACCAGGCCACTCGTGTCATAAACATGAGGCCACATGAGGTGCCAGATAGGAGCGTGGCTGGCTCCATGCCCAATGCCACTCACCCCCAGGCCTGTGTGCTCTCGATGGGTAACTGAATAGCAGCCATCTTCAAAACTAGAAGTATGTTCCAGGGATGGAGGCTGCAAAGAAGGCCCTTTATTTCACATCCATTTGCACACAAAACACAGTTGAGGCATATATGCTCTTAACCAGAGGACCTGCCTCTGCAATATCCAGACAGGCCACCCTAACCCAGATAATTCCCAGCACAGATGAGTAAGGCCCAGTGCAACCCTCACAGCAAGCCAGAGACCAGCTCCCCAGCGTCCCAGCTGGATTCTAACCCATTCCAGATGAATGGCAGAGGCCTGTGCCTCATTCCTCCTCCCACGCCTATGATAGACATTGCTAATCAAATCCAGCACTTTTCTCTCCTGCTCATGGATACAGCCTCAGAATCCTCAACACAGTGTTCAAGAAACGTCACCCATCATCCACACATGTGAGAACAAAGGGAGCTGCCATCCCTCCAGTCCATCCTGTGGGAGTGTGGCTAAGCCACCTGAGTCAGGCATGGAAGCCTGGGACCAGGCATGTGTGTCCAGCAGAAGAGGACCACCATCTTGGGGAACTTTTCTCACACCAGCTTTCAACTGAAGTCACAAGGGGTCAAGCACCATTTTCGAAGCAGATGGGTGACACCAAGGAAGGACTCTTTCTCAACTGGCACCACCTCCTAGCAGCTCCCCCAGCTTCCCCTTGGTGCTCGGGCTGCACCTGGACCCTCACCTGGATCTGCCCTTTGCCCATGATTTTGTCCACAATCTCATTGTTGTCCTTGTTGACCTTGGTCTTGTCATAGCACTTCTCATAGCACAGGATCCTCAGAGACTGAGAGCCCTCGAGTTCAATCTCAAACTCCTGCAGAAAGATGGAGACAAAGGGCCCTGAATTTCTGAGGCTGGGAGACATGGCTTCCTGAGAGGTGTGGACTTTCTGCAGGGGCAGGGTAAGAAGGGCACGTAAGGATGAGCTGCGAGACAAGGAGGAACTTCCACATTTCCTCGAGTTCTCCAAGGTCTCCCATCACTGATGAACTGCAGTTTGGGAGCCTGAGTTGAGATGATGTCTGCTCCCAGTCAATATGAATACTGTCATCAGAAGCCAGATGAGTGGAAGACACAGGGGTTAAAGGGACCAGGCTGGCCCTACCAGCAGGTTCAGCCATCGTTTCTGGGCAGGACATGAGCATGGTGGGGGGTGGTGGTGGTGGACATAGTTGGTAACACGCTCAGAGGTCCCTGGGAGGCACCAGATCCCTGCACTCACCTCATCCCACTTGGGCTCTGTCGTGTCCCGAAACACCCTGGTTTTGGCTTTGCTGACAAAATAGCCGAAGGAATCTACCTCCAGGGTACAGTACAGGTCTGCGGGAGGAAGGGCAGGCAGAGACGCAAATGAGGCCCAGAGGCTCAGGAAGGAAAGAGAACACTGAATCTGTCCTTCCCCACATCCCCGTGGGGTGGCATCTTAGCATTCTCCTCCCCACAGCCCTTCCTACTCTCTGCCTTCTTCACAGATGGCTCGGCCCCTCTCCACCTCATTCTCCACCCTCTAGCCTCGCTGGCCTCCTCCCACTTCAGGGCCCTGAGCTGGCTCCCCTCATCCCCAACCTCTGCTTGGCTGCCTCCTCCCCACTGAAGCCTCAAGGTCTTCACTGACCACGTAACTAAAGGAGTTTCTTCTTGCCCACTGATCTCAGGGCTTCTCAACAGGGTTATCACTGGCATTTGAGGTGGACATCACTGGAGAGCTTTTAGCAGCCCTGGCCTCTGAGTTAAGTAACCCCTGATTACTGTGATAACCCAAAATGGCCCCCTATATTGCAAAACTCCCCTCTGGTTTGCTTTTTCCTTTCATAAACCAAAAACAAACTAAACTCACTGCCATTGAGTCAATCTGTCCTTGGGTTTCCAAAGTGGTATGTCTATGGAAGTAGAGATTGCTCAACCTTCCTTCCAAGGAGTGGCTGGTGGGTTTGAACCTCCAGCCTTCTGGTTAGCATCAAATGCCTTAGGCACTATGCCACCAGAGCTTCTGCAAGTAGCTTTAACTAAAATTCTCTGTGTGTTTATTGTCTCTCTTTTGTCCACTGCCTCTATATGAGCATCATGCAGACGGTAGCCTTGTGTTTCTTATCCACTAGAGTACCCTCTGTGCCACAAAAAGTGCTTGGCACCCAGTGGGGGTGAGTGAATGATGCTCTCGTCACTGCCCAAGAGCTTCCGGCAACAAAGTGGTACAGGGTGGGTGGTGGTGGTGGGCTTTCCCTAGTGTCTCCATCTCAAACTATGGCCTGTAACTTTGACCATCTCCTCTTCTCTACCATGAGACCCCACTGATGGGTCACAGTACTGGGTGGTCACCATGAATACTCCGCAAATCTGTACACTCCTTCTGGGACTTGGACCCTATAGCCCCCCACCTCCACGGGAGGTGCCAAGTTTACCAGGGTAATGGTGAGGCAAGGGGTGACTTTGATGCACTATATGAGAGGATGAGGGGGTGGAAGTCAGAGGGAGACATAATGCTTAGGCCACTCACTCCACTCACGCCCCATCACAGAGATGCTCTGGGTTGCTTTCCTGCAGAAGGGAGTGGAGCTGACCCCTGAGAAATCTCTAGCTGAGTACAACGGAGTACAACTGGGTATTGAAATGCAAAGGATCCAGACACAGATTTACAGTTGAACAATGCCAGAGGCCTAAGGCTCCCGCCTCTGCCAGAGAAGGATGTGGGTCTGTGAGGTTAGGAGATGGTGAGACTGAAGTGCGGTCACATTTAGTTATCTTGGTGTGAATGAGCCTCCCAGCTAGGCTTGGGGGTAGCTCATGGGATAAAAGTGAGGGCTTCTGAGCCAAACTGTCTGGGTTCAAATCCTGGTTCTGCTGCTTACTAGCCAGGGAACCTTGTGTGAATCACCTAACTTCCCACCTCAGTTCCTTCATCTGTAAAACCCTAGGCCCGACTATATAGACTTAATGAGTTGACGAGGACAAGAAGCCATGGTAGAAGAGTCTCAGCCCAGTTAGGCTTGACCCTCAAGTCTGAATGAGTTCCTGAGAGGGTCAATGGCAGACAGGAGGAGTGAAGACACTCTGGAGACAAGGAAACATTTCACAGCAGCCCAGGTGGAACTCACCCCTTTTCTAACCACCTGATCCACTCTGGGAGATGGAACACCTGCTCTGGGGGAGGGGGACGCGCCTCCTAGATGGGCCTGCTCCCTGAGGGCTGTCCCCAGACAACTGGAAGGAGGGGGAGAAGTGGTGAGATATCTGTAACCATGGAGATGGGAGGTGCCTGGTTAGGTGTGTTAAGCCCTTGTGAACTTATTAACCTGGCAGACTCTTAGGCAGCATCCCTTCTCTCTGAGAAGGGAATTCTGTAAGTCTAGGAAAGGGCCAGGAAGCTGCCATGTTAACAAGCACACTGAGGGATCAGTGTAGAAGGTCCTGGCTACACTTTGCAAAGGAAAGAGCTTGGGCTTGATGTCTGAAGACATGGGTTTGAGGTCTATGCCACCATCTGTGTGACCCTGGGAAAATCACTTGAGCGCTCCGAGCCTCAGTGTCCTCGTGTGTAAAATGGGAATGATAACCATGACCTCTGAGGGCTGCCTGTACAACCAGAGAAAAGATAATGAACCTGAAAATGCTTTGAATATGCCAAGGCTCTGTCCACATTTTCTCTAGCACCCAGTAAGGTAGCAGGCCCTCTGTTAATGAACTACTTCATTCAGCACTGCTGACCTCCTGTTCATGCAAAGATAAAGGAGACATGGTCCTGCCCTCAAAGACCTCATGGCGGGGCAGGGAGACAAATGACAAATGGCAGGACAGCACAACAGGTCCTGGGACGTGGTTTGTCCAGCTGTGATGGGGACATAGGGAAAGGAGGCTGGTTTACCCCAGGAGCTCAGGAAGGGTTCCCAGTAAATGTTCATCAAGTGACTGTTTTGTGGGTCAATGGCATAGCTTCTTCTTGGTATGCTGCAGGGACAGAGGCCCAGGGCAGTCCTCCCCTGCCCACCAGAAAGGAGTGGGAAGGGCTAAGCTGGAAGGAAAAGAATCAGGAGTCCTGCGTTTCTGATCTTGCACGACATCAAGTCCTTGCATCTGTTTCCTCATCTGGCGAATGGGTAGAAACTATTAGCTGTCAAACCTACTCACAAATCCTTATGTGGGTAAGAAGTAGATAATAAGGATAATTCTATTTTGTGAAGTGTTAAATATTGTCCAGATTTAGTAGATGATGATAAAGAAGAGAAGGAAAAGGGATGCATGTGCCTGTGTGCTAGAGTTACACAGACACTGTCATATTTAAGCCTGCTTTCTGGTCAGTGTTAACAAGTGTGACTGCCTTTTATGAAGAAGGAAGTTGAGGCTCAGAGAGGTTGAGAAACTTGCTCAAGGTCACATAGCTTAAAATTGGTAGATGTCAGAAGAACTAGATGGTGCTGGCTACCACTGTCAACCACTCAGAGGGGGATCCTGGATAGATATGTGGAACAAAACTCAAAATCATTTGGAAAAAAAAAAGAGGGGGGAGGGGACCAGGTTTGCTGGTCTGATAGAGCCTGGTGGAACCACTGAGACTATGGCCCCTAGCTGCCCTTCAGATCGGGAATTGAACCCATACCTGTGGCTTCCAGCCAAACAAAAGACAGGCATATGAGTTGAACATGTACCTGAGGTAGATACACTCCTTGGAGAGAACCATCATGGGAGAAAGAAGGGCTGCTTATGCACAGGGAGACAGCTCAGGGGGCAGGAGTGCATGGAGAGATGGACACAGGGAAGGGCAACTGTGGGGAGGAAGTGGGAGGGAAGCTATTGCATTGGGGTAAACTGTAGTCAATGTCATGAGACAAAGTGTATGTGAACTGCTGTATGGAAAGTGAATTTGCTCCGTAAATTTTCACCCAAATCACACATACACACAAAGGGTAGATGTAGGGTGAGAGTGCAGACACCAAGGGGTGGGTGAGAGGCTTGTAGCTGAGCAGACTTGGAGACAATAAGCAAGGAAGATGTTCCAGTCAAGAGCAGCTGTTTCCTAGCCTTTGGGGGAATGCCCCTATCTCAGGGCCCTCTGGCAGGGCCCAGGCATGAGAAGAGCAGAGCAGAGTAGGTGAGCATGGGAGATCCCACGCAATGAGTCCACGGGGACATCCTTATGAAGGGATGCGCAATGAATGGCCCACCCAACCTCTCCCTAGGGCTGGTGGTCCGGGGCACTTACTGGCTGACTGTTTAAATCCCTTGGCAGAATGGACGATGACATGAAGGAAGCCGTAGAGTCCTGGAGACTCATCGTCTGCAAGAGAGAAAAGCCCCGAGGGGAGGGGGAGATCAGACATTGCTTTGGGCTTCATCCCCATCTCCAGCCCAGGGTGGTGGGGAGGCGGACAGTCAGACAGCACCACCTGGTGGCCAGATGAAAAACATGCCAAAGCCTATTGCTTCCCGGAATACAGTTTTGCCCAGAGGGTGCTGGTGCCCCTTCTCCCCAGCACTCGGTCTGGGAGGCCAACCCACAACTGTCTGGGCCAGGGATTTCATCCTGTTCCCCAGGAATACTTTATCTACCCCCCTCTGAATACTGCTTATTCCTTGGCTGCCCTCCTTGGACTACCCTTTCAAAGTGAAAATTAACCAATGTAACTCACTCTGCAGTAATGGAAGAGAGATGATCCTCCTTTGCCTCCAGCCTGGGACACAGGGGGCTCTACATGACCTCCATATGCCAGGGCGAGCTTGCCTCTAAGATCCCTTCCAGAGAGCTGACCCTTCCCAAGCACTCATGGGCAACCAGAATCCACTCTCTGGGCCAGTTAATCAGCCCTGATCTTAACTCTCCCCTGCTCAGAAACACCACAGGCTCTTCAGCTGACAGCAAGAAGTCCAAACGCCCTTGCTTGGTATTCAAAGCCTTCCAAGATCTGGTCCCTGGAAACCTGTGGCCCTAATCCATATGTTGTTGTTGTTAGGTGCTGCTGAGTTGGGTCCAACTCATAGTGACCCTGTGTACAACAGAACGAAACACTGCCCAGTCCTGTGTCAGCCTCACAATCTGTGCTACACCTGAGCCCATCATCGCAGCCACTGTTTCAGTCTATCTCATCTTATTTAGGGTCTTCCCCTTTTTCGCTGACCCTCCTCTACCTTACCAAGCATGACATCCTTCTCCAGGGAATGGTCCCTTCTGACAACATGACCAAAGTAGGTGAGACAAAGTCTGGCCATTCTTGCTTCGAAACAGCATTCTGGCTGCACTTTCTCCAGGACAGGTTTGTTAGTTCTTCTGGCATTCCATGGTACCCCATTGCCCCATCCCAAGGAAGCAAAAGGCTTCCATTATCTGACTCCATCATAATATGTGAACAACAGAATCCTAGTTTACCAGGATGCCAGATTCTTCTAAGCCAGAAGGGGCCAGGGAGAGGTTGGGGTCCATATCCCGACCTGATGGTTCATATCTCACTGTGACAACGGCGGCTTTTCAAGCTCTCTGTATACCTGACAACTGAGTAGTCCCAGCAGGGCTTAGCCATTTACAGCCAAGTGACTGCCTGAGTCCTTGTAGAAGGCCTCAGCAAGGCCCTGGGGGCTTGAACCAGCAGGTTGGACCACCTCGGTTCTGGATCTTACCATCTTTATTGCTGGTGACAGGAATGTTGTGTACAGTCCTAAGTTTGAAGCAGGATCCTGTGAGCACCTGGAGCTCCACTGAGCTCAAGACAAAGGCCTGGAGATCTGTGGAAGGAGCCAAGAGAAGGGGAAACACCATCATAAGTCCAGTAGGACCTGCTGCTAGAAAACAACTTGGCTCTAGGATCCTTGAGGAGGTGAAAGGCTTAGCAACACTCAACAGCAGGGTGAGGGTGGGTGGATTAGAGTATGAGAACGACTGAACTATGAGTAACTGAAGCTCAGGTATGTGTCTAGTCCTACTGCTAATTCATTGCATGTCTTAAACAAAACACTTATTTGTGTCTCAGTTGCCTGGCACCTCATAGGGTGATTATGAGGACTGAAGAGCAAAGGTTAGTCTTGAAAGTGCTTAAAAATGCAAAAGCTCATCATTGCCACGGACCCCACCCCACCCCACAGGGCAGTGCAGAGCGGGGCGGGACTTTACCCTTCTTCTGTAGTTTCTGAATTGCTTCTCTCCACTCTGACCTCTCATAGTCTGAGGACAGTAAGAACAGGTAGCTCTGAGGAGAGGAGGATAAGAATTTAGTGGGATGAACATGGTCAAATCAAACATATTCCCAGACACTGTCCCCTGCCCCAACACAGATGCTTTTCACCAAGTCACCCCTAGGTTTAGAGAAGGAGGCAGCTGGGGGCGGGGCCTCCTTCCCTGGGAAGTTGGGTGAAAGAAATGGCAGTGCCAGGGAGAGCCAGCAGAGGGCAGTGGCTCCACACCAGGGGGGAGAAGGAGGCCAGAGCCAGATCTGTGGCAGCCTCCTTGGGAAGAGGGGGCCTGAGTCCCACAAGTCAGGCCTAGGAGTCACAGAGTAGGCAGCCCCAGACCAAGAAAAAAGGTTGCCTTTGTCCCATCCTGCTGTTTCTGACCTTTCCATTCCGGTTGTGGATCCGAAATGGGATCGAGGGGGAATTGAGCAGCAGCAAGAACTCATTCTCAAACATCTTCTTTTTTAGGCGCTCGATGGCCCGGCTCTGCCCTTTGTTGGCTTTCTGTAGGGGATGGAGAACACACATGGGTCCTCTGACACTTAGATACCACTGCTCAGTTGCCAGAGCTAAACACAACACTCCCCTCCTTAAAGCCACAGCGCCTGGCCTGGCATATGCGGCCTCCCGATGCTGGGTTCCAGCGCTGCTCCCTGCTCGGCCTGATTTCTCACCGCACTGCCCTGCCCCGCACTACCACGCACCTCCACTGCAGCCTCAGGGTACTACTATTCCCTCTTTATTCAGGGCACCATTTTTATACAATTTTCTAAATATAAATGTATGGTTTTTTTTTATTGTGGTGAAATATGTAACACAAAACATTTGCCTTTTCAACCATGTTTATGTGCACAATGCAGAGACATGAATCACATTCACCATGGTGCGTAACAATCTGTTCCCAAATTTTGCATCACCCTTAGCAAAAACTCAGCTTCCCTTAAGTAACACTTCCATCTTTCCCTCCCACATGCTCCTGGTGCCACTATGGTCTCTATACATACGCCTGTTTTGGATATTCCACGTAACTGCGATCATATAAGGTCTGTCCTTTTATGTCTGACTTGTTCAGCTTAGCATAATGTTCTCAAGGTTCATCCATGTCATAGCATGTGTCAGAACTTCATGTCTCCTTATGATGCACATTATACAGATATATGACATTTGGATTCTCTGTGTATCCGTTGATAGGCATTTGAATCGTTTCCACCTTCTAGCTATTGTGAATAGTGCTGCTGTGAACACTGGTGTACCAGTAGTACCTGTTTTGAGTTCCTGCTTTTGATTCTTTGCTGGGTCATGGTCAAGTTTATATTTAATAAAGACCCTCTCCTTTTTATTAACAACTATCATCCTGCATGTCTCAGTTCTAGCTGTCCTCCATCCTCAGTTAGCACTCATCTCTGCAGAATTTTTACCCATGACACTGGCAAAATTGTAACAGTTACTCAGAGTCAGTGTTGTGACTGTGAGGAAACAGTCACTCTCGCACCCTGCTGCGGAAACATAACCTGATGCAACCTTCTCCAAGGTTAACCTGGCAACTCAACGCACAAACCCTTCGCCCCAGCCGTCTCACTTGTAGGGAAGCTATGACAGAGACGTATGAATGTAGTGATGTTTACTGCAGGCTGGGCTGTTAGGAGTAAAGAAGCAGAAACAATCTAAATAGCCAAACACATTACTGTGCAGTCAAGCAATATAATAAAAGGCAGCTTTTAGAAAGAATCAGCTAGAGCCAGAGTGCTTGGGTTCACTGTTAAATGATAGGGGCAGTTTGGTCTCATTATTTTGTAAGTATTCTATGCATCAGCATAAGCATAGAGTCCCTGGCTGATGCAAACAGTGAATGTGTTTGGCTGCTAACCAAGAGGCTGGAGGCTCGAGTCCATCCAGAGGCACCTGGAAGAAAGTTCTATCCCATGGATTTTGAAACATAGTGCGCTCATTTTCAGACTGTTCTAAACTCACCTGCAGTTTCTGTTTTGATCTCTCTAACTTGAAAGTTTTAACTTTCTGCCTGTGAGGAGCATACTCCTCAGAAGCATAGGAGACCGAAAGGGCAGCACTTGCCCCAAAACAAAGCTCAGAAGGAAACAAGAGCAGGAAAGAAGGATGAATGCACCCAGGGAACCCAAGGAGAAAGCAGGAAGAGTGATGTTACACTGAAGGAACTCCAACTAATGTTACGAAACAACGCGCAAAAACTGTTGAACGGAAAACTAATTTGCTCTGTAAGCTTTCACCAAAGCAAAAGAAAAAATAAAAAAAGAAGAAGAAATGTTAACATTTGAGGAGTATCGTCAACTCTATTATAGTTGTTGATTTCTAATTTCATTGCATTGTGATCCATTAACCATACCAGTGTGCCATCGATTTTCTGAAAACAATTGAGATTTCCTTGAGGTCTAATACTTGATAAGTGTTTGTGAATATTCCATGCACGTTTGGTGAAAATGTCAGTTCTCTACCAGGGCACGAACTTTTATGTATCTTTCGAACGAGCGTGTTAGGTATGAAATTCAAGACCCTGCTCTCATTTATTTGCCTACTTGCTAGGACAGTTTCGGAGAGGCCTCCTGGGTCCTTTTCTCTTGAATACGTCCCACTTTTCTAAGAGAAGGCATTCTTCTCCTCTTACTCCTACTTCTTCTGTAGTGTTCTGTAGTGTTCAACTTGGAGAATGGTGTCATTCTCCAAGTCCCCTGCTATAATCAACCCCACCAAATTCCAAGCACTGCCTCTTCAGGCCTCCCTCCATCTGCTCAGTACTAATCTGCCACAATTGAGGACCCTTTAGCACATCGACACTCAAGGCCTTCCACGGTTGCATCCTGCCTCCCTCATGGACTCCCAAACCTTACAACTTGCCCTCTCTCTACCTCCCCCAGCACACACAGGCCAATGGACACAGTGAAAAGGGCCCACACCCCCCTGTCCCAAGCACAGATGCCAGGCTCTATGTACCTCCTTCTGGATTTCACTCTTGAGGGCAGAGATCTTCATTTTCATGTCCTCCAGCTCGTGGTCTGGGAAAGGGTGTACCTGGGGGCTGGCCTCAGACTCCTCAGGGGATGGAAACACGAGGTCAGCCAGGGGGATGTACCATTTACAGTCATATTGTTGGTGCTTCCTGCAAAACACCAGGAAAGAGACATGAGCCCAAGGGACCTCAGCTCTTCAAGACTGTACTGCTGCCAGGCTTGAAGTCACCTGAAGGGATTTACTGAGAGCTTGTCACAGACAAGAGTAGTCCCTGTCCTCGAGGAACCAGATTAGGATGTATACACATGGAGTCATTATAATCAACCATGATGTCAGACGGCCAAGAACTAAAATGCGTGGGTGAGAGAGCAGGAACTCAGAGAAGGATCAGACCCTTGGCCTGAAGATGTCCTGGAACAGAACACCAAGCAGGTTCTAGGGTGAGTGAGCAGTGAGGTCAGTGACCCTTGGCCTTGCCAGTCTTCTAGCTCAGTATAACTGATGTCTTTAAATATCCCAAACTACTTGATTATCAGCAAGAGGAAGGCTTCTTAGTTGGGCTCATTTGTTTCTATTCCCCATCCCATGTCCTTTTATTCCTTCTAGCCTAGCCATACTTAGTTCATATCCATCATCCTTTATGCTACAAACAGAATACAGATGTTATTCTGAATGCCAACTCTTATCGATAGAGGTCACATGGTGTACTGGGTTGATGATTATTAAGCCACATCCAAGTCTAACAGGAAAGAGTGCAGTGGTTGATTAGTAATGTCTGCCATGGACAAAGGACTGCATGTATGGTTATTATAGCCATCTCTATTTTAGAACTATCTCAAATCTGATCTAGTTACAGAGACTCATCCTTTAACTGTTGTTCATAATAATCTCTCCTTCTCTGACTTCCCCCAGGACTTAGGCTTGTACCTACTATTCTGGCCCCTCAGTGGGGCACTGAGCACATGGCCTGTCTCTCTCTAGACCATAAGGTAGTGTGCCTGGCACACAGTACTTAAGTAAATATAGGTGGAAGAATAAATATAGGTGTGAACAAATACTGAATAACATTTTGTGATCATGGCACAGAGTGAGACCACACTGGGTATTGAGATGGAACTGAGAAGCTTTCAAGTGAGATAAAGCAGGGTTCAAATCCTATCACTAGCTGTGTGACCTTGGGCAACTTATCTAACTTCTTTAAGGTTTTTCTCTCACCTATGAAATGGGGATAATGGTACCTACTTTGTGATGTTGTTGAGAAGCTTAGAAATGATGTATTCAAAGCATTTGTCATGGCATCTGGCACGGGATGTGTACTCAATACATGGTAGCAGAAGATTGAGTGAACTGTCACTGAATTGCAGTTAGCAAAAATTTAGAAATGTCTAAGAGGAGAACGCATAAGTAAATTACGGCATATCCACTTGTAGTAACATGCACATGATTATGAAGATTAGGCAAACAGGGAAAACGCTTATGACCTGAAATAGAAAACACAGGGCCCAAAATTGAGTATTCACTCTGATCACAACTATGTGAAAAACACGAGAATATTAAAACTGGAGGGAAATACAGCAGCAGGAGGCTGGTGCCTGTGTTCGGGCGGGTGATGATTCTTGCTGTAATGTGGCTTCTATTACCGCTATAATTAAAAACATGATTTATTTTAGAAAAAGGCAACGTAGTGAAATCAAATTAATTACTATTTCTTTTCCCCCCAAAAGGAAACAAAAGACAGATTGCCTCAGGCTGATGGGGGGCTGTATAAGGGGTAGGGCCTGGTTCCCCCTCCTCCACATCCCCTCACACCCTGGGCTTTTTCTGCACACTCACCCTGCCGATGTCTTCTTCAGTTTGGCGCAAAGGAGGACGTCTGTAAAGAGGAAGACATGCCGCAGCTTCCGGGAGCTCTCCGACACTTCCACCAGGAAGCCGTCCTTCACCAGCTGCCGCGTCTGAGGGAGATGCACACCCACCCCAGCCTGCTCAGAGAGGAGCGCAGCCCAGGGAACCCCATCCAGCTGGGGAGGGATGGAGAAAGGGGCTGTGTTGCCTGGTGGTTAAGAGCACTGGCTTCGGAGTCATACGAACCTGGGTTTGAGTCCCAGCTTTGCCACATCTCAGCTGTGATCTCAGGCAAGTTTCCTGACCTCTCTGTACCTCACACTTAACACCCTCCGTAAAATGGGGGTAATGATGCCTGCCTCATAAGATAGGGTTCTTCAAGATGGTGTTAAAACACTTAATGTAGTGCCTGGCACCTGATAGGTGATTATGCAATGGTAGCGTCACACCTTCCTGGATGGACAGCCAGGTTCCTCCAGCATGAACCCTCCCGGGGATGCCCCCAGTTGAGCCTAAGAAGCCGATCTAGTTTCAGCCCAATCTCAGACCTGCAGATCCACTCAGGTCTGTTCATGCTGCTTCTGAGTGGATCCTTCGCCCACCCCCAGATCGATGGGGAACCCCAGGCAACCCTCAGTGGGACTGCAGCAGCACCCTGGGGAGACCTGTAGCCACCTCTAACCTGGGCTCTGGGTGGTCAGGAACATTTTGCTCTGTATGGACCTTCCAGAGTTTCCTCCCTGCCCCCAGAGCCGGTGGATTTCTCCATAGCTGTCACAATCTTCCCCAGCCCTCTCTGTCTGTACCATGTATCATCTGCTGTCCTGCGTGTATTATAAACTGTGTGACCTACATACACTGCACTATGTAGGTGAGCATCAATAGGATACGATGACGACGCCTGGAAAGTGATGGTTCTCTAATCCCTTTGCAGAGTTTTCAGCTACCCACAGAGTAAAACACTAGTGACATTGCAGGGTGTTGCAAATCAGGGCTGCGACTACACATGGAGACAGCTTTCTATGCCCTATTAGCCACTCTCCAAGCCTGTCCCTCATTACCTCCCTCCCCAGGAGACAATGGAGCTTCAGAATCTAACAAAGGAGCATAAACCCAGTCAGCCTTCACTCCTAAACTCCACTTAATTATCTCCATTGTATCTGGGCCAGGCTGCTGACTCCCTTGGGTAACTGTCCTTCTGATTCTTCAGATTGGCTCCCCTCACTGGTGTGCCCCCCACCCTCCCACCAAGAAGGGCTCCCAGGGAACTGGAGCTGCTGTACGATAGCCAGGCACCCACACGGGACATTCCTTGTTATGCTCAATACCCTTCACCTCGACCACCCTGCTGGCAGGCTCACTCCCCAGCTCCTGCCCACCTGCCTGCTCAGGCTGATCAGAAGCAGCTCAAAGGCTCCCTTTCCCACTCAGACAGAGCCAGTATCTTCCAGTGGGCCAATGAGGATACCAGACTGGCTAGAGAGTGATGGGTACATTTCAGAACGAAGCCCCTAGAGCCCCCAGCTCCCTGGTGTGGAGGACTATACATGGCGCCTACAGACAAGTATCTCCAGGTAAAGAATCCAGTTCTGATACTTAGGCTGAGAGGCCTAGGACCTGTCACCACCCGTCTCTAGACCTCAGTTTCCTTTTCTGTCTCATCAGATTATTATGAGGCTGAATGAGACATGGGACTGAAAGCTCTCATCCCAGGGTGACTGCCAACTGCAGACATCTCTGCAGTGCAGAAAAACCTCTGGCTGGTGGGAGATGAGGGTTGGAGGGCAAGGGCACAGGGTGGCGATGCCTGTGCTTGAAGGAAAGTAGGAATGGGGGTTCTGCTCCACTGCTGCTCTTCACATTGGCCCCAGAAGTTCTGAGTGCAAGGCTTACCTCGCCCTTGGGAGTTGTGACAGCAGTCCGGCGGGGGTCAATGTCCTCGTTGATGCTGGACAGGAAGTTCTGGGAGATGCGGAGGGCATCCTGGAGCAGTGGGTAGTCTGGATGGTCCACGGGTGTGTGCTTCAGTAGGTCCTGGGAAGGGGCAGGTGGTGAATAGTGGGGAATGTTCTGAGGGCTCAGTGGGGAGATGGGTTGACTGAGAGCGCTCAACCCTCACAGACGGAATTCCAAGGGGGGCAGCACTCAGGGACCCACGGTTTCATCCAGTCATGCCTGTGCAACGTGAACTAAGCACGAGGGTCAGCAGAGCAGGCCTGTGGGCAGTGCCCCTTTCATTCCTGCTGCAGTCATTATTCTTCCCCATGGTGAGGTGGCCAGGCGGAGCCTCATCTCACCAAGCAGCTGGGAAGAGACACCCCTGCTTCCACCCACAGCTGCTCTGAGGCCAGAGGAGACCACGAGGCAGGGGCTGGAGAGGCAGGAAGTGCCTGCCTCCTAAGGAGCATTTGGCCAAAAGTCAAGCTTGGTAGCCAAGCTATATTTAGGCCCTGGCCCCGTTGGCATGGTTACCACAGACCAGGCAGGTGCAGTCAGGGACCCTCTGCCCAACTCCCTACAAGGGCTATTCTCAGAGACTCTAGCACCTTCTTATCCTGAGGTCAGTCTCCCACTCAACTCCCATCCCCTTCCTGGCTATTTGAGGGGGCTGGCACTCACGTGTAGGACTAGGGTGCTCCGAGTGACTCGGTCAATAGGCTTGTAGAGCAGAGCTGTTGGGGAAGCAGGGAGAAGGAGACAGGGTGGGATGAAATACAGAAGCAACTTCAGACCTTAGAGACCGGCTTTATTCCCCCTCCACCCTCTGCCTTGCTTCTCCACATGATCCCCCACTTGCAAGAAGCCAAAGCGGGTTCCTCCAAACTCACCACAGGGCAGACCAGACAACACAGAACAGACAGACAGTCTCACAGCCCTGGCAGCCCACACTCCTGCCTACCCCTGCCTCCTCCACCAGACATGACTTCTCGGAGGGCTGCTCCAGGCCCGTCCTGACCCAGCCTGGCTCACAGCAGGTACAGAGGCTCCCCTGGATCCCACCCGGAATCACAAAGCTACACTAGCCTTCCTCCTGCAGGGCTCCAGCACACCCAGGGTCACAGATGGGACCCCAGGATGGGGAAGGAGACCTGTGGGTTTTCCAGGAAGGGCAGCTTCCCCTGCCCGATCATGCTCATACTCCTCCTGTCTGAGGCCTGGCACCACCTGCTGGAAACAGTGTGTTTCGTTCTGCCCCTCACAACCGGCCTCAGCTCCCTGGGGAAGACCCCCGTACACTCCTGCAAACCCCTAAACAGGACGGACTGGGGCAAAGGAAGCCAAGGAGCTACAGAAAGTCTGTTCTTAAGCAAGTGATGGCCCAAGGGGGCAAAGCCTTTTTGAAGAAAGCCAGGGCCTCTCATGTGGGAAGACCCTGATGAAGTTGGGAAACGCAAGCTTGGCCGATCTCAATTCACCACACCGCTCCGTGACCTCTGCAACCCAGACACCAAGTGAGGATGGCTAGGATTCAGCAGGAACAGGTGGAGGCAGCAGCTGGTGGACCAACACTTCCGAAAACCATTCCCAGCACGCAGCTGTGCCAGGCCCCTCCCCACATGGGCAGCTCAGCTTCAGTCTTGCACCTGGACACTTCTTTGCAGGGTCATGAGCTCTGGCCTCCTATCTCAGGAATCTTAAGAGGCAAGATGGTGGTCCAAGAAGGAGGACTCTGGAGTAGATGGCCCATAGGACCAGGGTGTGACAGGTACCCAGAGAGCCAACACGCATAGCCTAGCTAGACCCCAGACCAGAGTTCCCCACAGCTTGAGATATAAACCCCCCATGTGTTGCTAAGCAGACACCTCAGGGAACAATGTGCTGGCTCCAGAGAAGATGAGGTACTCAGTGGTACACCACGAGCCCTTCTGGAGTCTTTACTTGGTTGCCCATTAGAATCACTGGGGGAGCTCTTCAAAGACACATCTGCCTGCTCCCTAATCCCCACCAACTAAATCCAAATCGCTGGGTGGTGGGACCTGGGTATCAGCATTTTTAAAAGTTCCCCTGCTCCACGAGACCGGAAGAGCTAGATAGTGCCCAGCTACCACCGTCAACCATTCGGAAGGGGATCCATGTAGGAGATCCTGGATAGAGTGGGAGAACAATGTGTAACAAAACTCAAAATCATACAAAAAAAAAAAAAGATCAGGTTTACTAGTCTGAAAGAGCCTGATGAGACCCCAGAGACTATAGCCCCTAACTACCCTTCAGGCCTGGAACTGAACTCACTCCCATGGCTTCTGGCCAAAGAGACAGGCATACAGGGTGAACATTTCTCTCAGGTAGATAAACTCCTTGGAGTGATCAATCATGGGAGAACAGAAGGGCAGTATTTACACAGGGAGATAGCTCAGGGAGCAGGAATGCATAGGAAAGAACAGAGGGAACAGGTAACTACAGGGAGGAAGTGGGAAGAGAGTTGTTACACTGCAGGGAATTATAGTCAACGTCATGAAACAAAATGTGTATGAACTGCTGTATGGAAAATTAATTTGTTCTGTGAACTTTCACCCAAAAATCCCCTGTTGATTCTGGTGTATGCATATGGGTTGAAAATCACTACTTTATGCAAACACACTTCCTATGGTTTTATTTGTAGCCTTTTACTTAGCAATTACTTTACTTAGAAATTACTTAGCACTACTTTCTAGAAACTCTCCTCATGGGCTATGGGGGCTCAAATGGGGAGGTGGCAGCTCCAGGAGTGTCCTTGGACAGTGAGAGCAGAGCCTAGTTATCAGCCTAGAAGGGACCCATTTCTGAGGCTGGTTCAGGTCCCACCTGTGGCTTAGCCCATCTTGTGGGGGTGGGGAACACACCCAGAGAACTCTGGAGACCCAGGGGGAGAACAAGTTCAGCAGACGTCTACCAGGGGGTAGGGGTGGGGTGCCTCAAGCCCCAGGTCCAGGGAACATGCACCGTCAGCCCCTCCTTCCCTCTCTTGGTCCTGGGAGGCAGAGGTTTCTGACTAATCTCAGAGGTCTGCACAAACAGCTTGGGTTTCAGAGAGTTATTAATATGCCTGCAGCTACCTCAAGTCCACCTGCCTGGGGTGGTGGAATGTGTCCTGCAGTCTTGGCTGGGAGGAGGGAAGGACAGCTGGGAGTGGCGGGCGAAATGCAGAAGGAGAGCCCAGGGGCCCAGCTCTAGGTCCACAGGCACATGTCGAAGAAACCAGGGGCAGAAGAGCAAGCCCAGTGCTGGAGCTCCCCATGGCCTGTGCTCCCTGCTTAACCTGAGAATTCAAGGGAGCACCCCCGCAACCCCTGCCCCTTTACCTGCTCCATGGCTCTGACAGGTCAACCTGCCTCCAGCCTCTGCTTTACCCTCTCCACACCCCTCACTATGCTGTTTCCATCCTGCCTGGGATGCCCACCACTCACCAAAATGCACAACCCATTTCTCCTCTACCTCAGGAAGCCCTTCCTGACCAGGACTTTTACAAATAGCACCTACCCCATTTAGAAGTCAGACCACTGACAACAGCAAAGTAGCCTCTACCTTATTTACCAAGTACTTTCTCTGTGCTCAAGGAGCTCTGGTGGCGCAGTGCCTAAGGCATGTGACTGCTAACCAGAAGGCTGGTGGTTCAAACCCACCGGCCACTCTGCAGAAGCAAGACTGGGCAATCTACTTCCATAAAGATTTTACCACCTTGAAAACCAAAAGGGGGTCGTTATAAGTTGGAATTGACTCAATGGCAGAGGGGGTTTTTTTTTTTTTTTTTTCCTCAATGGCATTGAGTTAACTGCTTTATGTGCATGATCTCCCAGGATTAAAAATGAAAGCAATTATCATTAATCCCATTTTATAGATGAGGAAACTGAGGCACAGGAGAAATTATGCCGCTTGCTCATAGTCACAGGGTTAGGAGTAGTGGCCCCTAACTTTGAGCCATTTTCCTCTGGAGGGGAGGGCAGCACCTGTAATTGCTCAGTGAACCTCAGGAGGAAGACAGGGTCATATCTGACTCACCTGGGAGGCCCCCACAGATCTGGCGTGGAGCTGTACAGGTGGGTGCTGAGTAAGTACCAGTCGAGACAGTTAGCTCCAGAGTGAGTTCAGGTGGCCCAGTCATTGCAGGGCCCCCAGACCTGGCACCCCTCAGAAGGCTGAGAAGGTTCTCATCAGTATGGATCAGCACGGGATCATTTGTGCCTCGTGTCCCCCATTTTGAAGCCAACTTCAAAGACAGTGTTGCAGGGACCAAAGAAATCCTGGACACTAGGTCCCAGGCCAGTTTTACTAAGACCCACACTTCCTTCTGGGGAAAGAGGAGGAAGTAAAGAAGCCATCCTGTTTCTTTTTTAGGGAGGCAGAGTTGAGACTCGGCTTACTTCTAAGTCAAACCAAAACGAGCATTTCCCCTCTGATCTTCAGACAGGCCAATTGCAAGTCCAGCTTGCCATCTGACCCCAGGCCGACAGAATCTGAGCCATGGTGAAGGGGGCAGGGCAGGTGCTCCCAGAAACACAAGTTCCCACCACTGTCCTACTGGGGCAGGGGAGAAGGGTCAGGGTTACCTCTCTCATGACAGGTCTTTGACACAGGGTAACCTGACAAGGTAAGGGGACAACTGGCCACACATAGCCCCTCCAGTACAGTGACCTCTGGGAGATAGCCCAGAAAACTTCATCATCTCTCCTCCAGCAACCTGCCACTCCCCTCAATTCAGCCTTCCACAAGGAGCTCCAAGTTACCACGGAGATATGAAAGCAAAATGACTGAGAAGGGTACAGAGAAAAAAATGCCTCGTGGGAGGGAAGAAGAAGGTCCTAGAGGCAGCCGCCTGCCACTCCAATTCACAGGGGCCCAGAGTAGCTGGCCTGTAGGCAACACTTGCCCCCCACAGCTCTGCCAAAGGCAAACATGGTGACCCCTAAGGCCCTTCTTGCATCAGAGATCAGAGCCCACCAGCTCTCAGACAGCATCCTGCCCAGACCTCCTCCAGCCCCTATTAGCAACAACCTGGCTAACAGCACATGCCAAGGAGCCCCCCTCCACCCGAGGGAAAGGCAAGGAGGATGCTCCGGGTCCCTTCCATGGTAGGGTTGGTTTGTGACCTTCACAAAGCAACAGCCAGCCACACCGCCACACCTCCTTCTCCCACTACTATCCACTGCCGGCCTTCCGGCTAAGTGCCAAGACCTCAGCTTCTGCTGCACGCAGCGAAGGGTCGCCAGTGGCTAGAAACGAACCTCCCCAGAGCAGCCCAAGCCCTTCCTGCTCTCCCAGCCGCATCCATGTTCTCCCATTGCTGCTGATCCGAGACGAGAGGATGTAGAGGAGGCAGCATGTGCACTCCGCCCACAATACCCTGGCCGCACAACCTTCCTCTCTTCTCTCTGGGAACAAAGAAACTCCCAACTTCTCCCTCCAGCCCAGGCTGGCACCCACTCTGTTCAGTGCGCTGCTGTCCAAACCATCCGAAACTCTCCGACTGGCCACTGTTGATCCCTCTCCGGCCCCAGGGTTACCACATCTGCAGGTACAGCCTGGTCACTTTCTTTCCTTAAAAGCCTCTCCAGGAAGTCAGCCAAACCTCTCAAGGTAACCCGCCAATTGCCCACAGATCTTCAGGGGCACCTGTATCTTTCTAGCCTAGTCCTTCCATTTCAAAACCACGCTGCCGTGAGCAACCCCCAGGCTCTTCAACTCAAGGCGGAAAGCTGGCCAGGATGGGGGTAAATACATATCCAGCCACTTGTCAACTCTTCCTTCCCTGCTGCCTCCCAAACCTTGATAGCACATCTAAGCCCACTGCAGCCAGCTCCAGGAGGCGGGAAAGCACCCCACCTCCCAGGGATGGGGGCCAGGGTTACCATAGGTGCAGTTACAGCAGAAACGAATGATGAGGAGGATTTCCATGGCAGCCTGGGTCCCCGCGGCGTGAGCACACGGCCATCGCTCCCGGCTCCCCAGCTCCCATCAGCAGCCCGGCCACTCAGCCACCTTGCCGGCTGCTGCACAGCCTTCAGAATCAAGCCGCCGCTTCCGAGTGCTCTTCCAGCAAGAGGAGGGGGAGGGGAGCGCAAGTGGAGAGGCGGGAGGAGGAGAGGGGAGGCGGAGGGGAGCAGAGCGAAGAGCCTGCTGGCATCCTAAGAAGGAGCACGTTTGTAGCTGGCCGGCTGCCTGGGGACATGTGAAGCTGGATTCCTCTCGTGTACACACACACACACACACACACACACACTCGCACACACACATCAGCAAGGAGGGCACTGCATTCACACACTTAGTCCACAAAACCAGACAAAGGAAGCTGACTGCTATCCTGCCCATTCCCCAAAGTACCTTCCATCGTGACTGACGTGTGGCTGTCCTTGGAGTCCTTGGGACCTTTCACTTTGAGTTCCTGCCAAAGGGAAGAGAGGAATCACTACCTGGACTGTCCCCCACCTCCCCCACACCCCAGTATGAACATAGCAGGAAGAGAGGCTCTGAAAGCCAGGGTGAGAGAAAAGGACATGAAGGGACATGAGGCCCCCTCTGTTTCACCACCCTGTGCCCCACCCATGCTCTCCTGGAGCCTCGTGGATTCCGGTGGATTCCAGTGGCCAGCCAGGGTAGGGCCAAGAGGGAGGGGACTCTAGGTGTCAGAGTTATAACAAGTTGTTAGAGAGGACTGTGAAGATGGGGGCTCTTCAGATTTATCCCCTTAAGCCCCTCCCCACCAACATTGAGGGTATTCCAAAGAATAAGCAGTGGCAAGAGCCACTACTCAGGAGTCTTTACACATCAGCCTGGAGCAGACAGGGTTTGGGTCAACAAGTGCCAGGTGTCCCAGCTGATCCTTGGGAATGGGCAGCCCTTGAGATAAAGAGTAAGTCGTCCTGCACCCCACACACAGGGAAGCAGGGAGACTGGGGAGAGACACTGCCCGAGTCAGGGCAGTCCAAGCGACATCCGACCCATATCTGTGGTCATCGAGTCAATTCCGACTCAGGGCAAGCCCAGACGCTTACAGGGTAGAACTGCTCTGCAGAGTTCTCTTGGCTATGATCTTTACAGAAGCAGATGGCCAGGTCTTTCTTCTGCAGTACCGCTGGGTGAGTTTGAACCACCAACCTTTAGGTTAGCAGTTCAGTACAAACCATTTGTAACACCCAGGGACCTTCAGTGAGGAGGGAATCACCCACCCTCCAGCTCACCTGACACTATCCGCCTACCAGTGCCTGTACTGGGCATCAATCAGAGAGGAAGCTACAGGGAGGAAAGCGCTGACACCCCTCTGCACCCCAAGCAAAGTGGCCTTGTAGAGAGACCTGTTGTTGTTGTTGCTATGTACCGTTGAGTCGGACCCGACTCATAGTGACCCCTCCTTGGGCTTCTGAGGCAGTATCACTGTGGAAGTAGATTGCCCCATCTTCCTTCCGAAGAGTGGCTGGTGGGCTTGAACCGCCAGCCTTCTGATTAGCAATGAAGTGCCTTAGGCACTATGCTACCAGAGCTCCCGGTAGAGAGACCTAGCAGTGAGATAAGCCAGGGAGGGCTCATCTGATCCAAACCTCTTTTCTTAGGCTTAGAGAAAGAGGCTGCAGTCCAGCCTGGCTAGTGGGACAATGTGCCTGCAATGGGAGCTGTAATGCAATCTCTGCTGGGTGGCTCAGTGCACAGGGCCTCAAATGGGGGTGGCAGCAGGCAAGCAGGGGACAAAGTAAGGACAAGGTCAAGTGCCAGGGGATATCGCTTGCTCTGCCTGGGAGGAAATGCCCAGGCAGCAGAGTCCCACATTACCTACTCATGCCTCATGCTGTTTCTAGACAGAGAAAACCCCAAGGGATGGAGCAAGGGCTTGTGTGTGTGTGTGTGTGTGTGTGTGTGAGTGTGTGTGGTGGGGGAAGGTTCAGCTTCTCCAGACTGTCTCTGTGCCTGGTGCCTGGATTCCCAGCTTTAGGGAATTTTTCTGCACACTCTCCAGTGCTGCCTAGAGGTATGAAATCACTCCTCTGCAGAGGAGAAGGGCCTAATTGCAGTAATTAAGTGGCAGCGCCAGCAGGAAGAGACAGCGTCAGCATGTGAGTCGGGGTGAGGAGCCACCTGGCAGGAGGCCACAGGCCAGGCTCTGCCCTTGGGAGCCAGCAGACTTAGGAGGGCCTGGGGATGGCTACAGGGCACAGGCAATCCACCCAGGCCAAGAGGCGACCCCACGTTCTCTGGGCAACCAGCAGCCTGCACAAGGCCACTCTGAACAACGATCAGAGAATTCAGGTTGCTGCCAAGGAGGCTGGGAGCCACAAAGGGAAGCCCCATTCTCCAGCCTCCTGATGTCACATAGAGGGACTTCCCCACCCTTCACTCAGGCCTCCCAGGCAGGTTGTGTGACTCACTGGATCCATGGGTTTGAGAGAAAACACTGAGCTCAGTTTCTCCTCTCTACCTGCTTGGGTGGCTGTAAACTGAGTCAGGGGGCTGGTATTGCTATCATTGGGGAAGTGAGTCTGGTTTCCCATCCCTGCTGGAAACGGAATACATAATTTCATTCTGGAGGTGACGGTGAGCAAGTCCAATGTGGCTACAGGTGCAAATCCACATTTTCCAACCCTGCTTTGACTAATTACAAGGCTGACGTTTTGATCTCCATCTGTGCAACTCGTGTGTCGCCTCTTGGTTCCAAGCTGGGCATAACCTGGGACCCCAGTAGTTTCAGGAAAACCAGCCTGCATCTCACCAACTTTTCTGGCATCAGAGCAGATATGTGGAAAGCAAAGGGCCAAGAGGGGCCTTTAAGGCAGGACCTGAAAAACTGTGGGAGCAGCTTCCTACCCCAGAGGTTCTCTTGCCCTGAGCCTGGAGCCAGGGACTGCAACTACAAGGCTAGTGGCTGAGGGCTATCACTGGAGTATTTCTAGATAAAGAGGTGAGTTGGGCTGTGCTCCTGAAAGAGCCCAGTGCATGCATCCCCTTCCTGCCACTTCCAGAATAGATGTGTCAATAGCAGATGATACCACATTACCTGTCCTGCAGAGCAACAAGGAGGGACGCCTTGGTTGCAGCAACAGGCACAGGCATGTTTGCAACCAGAGGACCTAGGGGTTCTTTTCCACATAAGAGTTGCTCTTGCCCCTGTCTCTTGCCCTTGCTGGTGGGACTGCAGAATCCCAGAATCAACAAGGATCTTCGAGGTACAGTCCGGACTTCCTCAAATTTTCCTAATCATAAACATCACCTGGGGAGCTGATAAAAAATACAGATTCTCGGGCCCTGCCCCAGAATCTTCAGAACCAGAAGCTGCAGGTAAGGTGCTTGGAAATCTGCATTTTAAACTGTGTCCCTGGGACTCTAATCAAGCAAGTTTGGGATGACAAGTCCAGATGCCTGATTCTCAGGGGCCAAGAGAAGGGAAGTCACTTGCTCAAGGTCACCACAGCGTGGGAGAACACTGCTTTTTGTCTCCCGTTCCTCTCTCTAAAATAGAATAATAATAATAATAAAAATCAAACAAATCGATATTCTTACATTAAGAAGGAAAATGTCAGGTGCAGGAAAACAAATATCAGGAGAAGTGTTATCTGTCAGGGGAACCACTTCCCTAACCAGGAAGCAGCGTAAGTGGCCGGCCCGCTCTGAGCCACCCCCAAGGCTATTGTCATTGATTGGGGTGGCTGTGTGAGGAAGCTGCCCACCTCTGAGATCTTCTGGAACTGGTTGTTGGACTGGCTACACTTCTCAGCTGTCTCCAGAGCGACTTTATAGTTATCCACAAACGCTTTGTACACACCAAGCTGGCTGGCCTGCGGGGAAGAGACAGGGAATGGAGAGAGAGGAGTGGGGTGGTGGGGGGGGGAGATTCATGAATGGATGAAAGCTTAACCAGAGCACCTGGAATTCCCTTAGAGCTCAGAACCTCCAGCTCAGCTCCAATGGCTAGCTGGGTACGGAGGGGAATGGCAGAGATATACATACTACTGTATCCCTTTGAACTTGGTGGTTTCCATGGAAACAGGCTCAGCCAATAAGGTTAACAAGGGGGGTGTGGGTGGAGGGGCAGCACAGGGCCTTTGTTGGCCGCCAGAAATTCAATTCTTCACTGCATTTGGCTTTATTTAGCATTGTCAAGGTCTCACAGGGGTTGAAGCCCCTTAATGCCTCACACCTCCTGCACATCCTGGAATTAGCTGGTGGGGGTAGAGACAGAGATGGGGAGAGGAGGATGGCTAGTGTGTGGCCGGCTCAGCCTGAAGCTGAGCTCCCAAGCTGAGGGTATGGCACAGCACTTAAAGACACAGTCTCCACCTCCCTGGGTCCTCAGGTCCCCTCCTCCATTGGCCTCTAAGGAGCCAAAGCTCCTGTCTCATTACCCATTTGACATCACTCAACTTTACACACAGCTTTCCAATCTCCCACCACACAGGGCCTCCCCTCTCTGTGAGGTGGAAGAGATCTCACCATCCCTTTCGGCAAAGGGGAAAATGAGGATCATTAATCCAATTTCTCAAATATTTATGTAAAGCCTCCTCTGTGCTAGGGATATGCACTTCCTTTTACAGAAGCAAAGGGTGGAAATTCAAATTAAAACCACAATGAGATACCATTTCACATCCATCAGACTGGCCAAAATTTAAAAGTCAAATGATCTGCAGGGTCAGCAAAACTGTAGGGAAAGAGGAGCATCCCAGACTGCTTGGGAGGGTATAAGTTAGCATGATCATTTGGAGAGCGACTAGCACAACCACAGCCGACCACCACCCATCTGCCAGCTTGTACTGTGGAGGCTTGTGTGTTGCTGTGGTGCTGGAAACTATGCCACTAGTATTTCAAATATCAGCAGAATCACCCGTAGTGGACAGGTTTCAGCAGAGCTTCCAGACCAAGACAGATGAGGAAGAAAGGCCTGGTGATCTACTTCTGAAAATTAGCCAGTAAAAACAGAACACTATCTGACTAGCTTGCTCTGGACACATCATTAAAATCCAAACCACACCCATTGTCATCGAGTTGATTCCAACGTATAGCCATCCTATAAAGACAGGATAGAACTGCCCCATAGGGTTTCCAAGGCTGTAAATCCTTATGGAAGTAGAGTGCCACATCTTTTTCCCCCAGAATTGCTGGTGGATTCAAACCACAACATTCTGGTTAGCACCCAAACACTTAACTACTGCACCACCAGGGCTCCTTGGACATGTCGTTGTTGTTGTTATTTGCTGGTGAGTTGGACCCGACTCATAGCCACCCCTCAAGTAGATTGCCCAACCTTCCTTCTGAGGAGTGGCTGGGGGTTTGAACTGCCAGTCTTCTGATTAACAGTCAAGTACCTTAGGCACTATGCTACCAGAGTTCCTGGACATGTCGTTGTTGTTGCTGTTGTTGTTGTTATGTGCTATCGAGTCGGACCCAACTCATAGCGACCCCTCCTTGGGTTTCCAAGGCGGTATCACTATGGAAGCAGATTGCCCAACCTTCCTTCCGAGGAGTGGCTGGTGGGTTTGAACCGCCAGCCTTCTGGTTAACAGTCAAGTGCCTTAGGCACTACATTATCAGAGCTCCTGGACATGTCATTAGGAGGGATCAATCACTGGAAGAGGACATCATGTTTGGTGAAGCACAGGGCCAGTGACGGTGAGGGAGACCCTCAGTGAGACAGACTGGCCCAACAGCCGCAGCAATGGACTTGAACATGCCGGGACTGTGAGGATGACACAGGACCAGGCAACACTGCGTTCTGTTTCACATTAAGGTTGCCACGAGTCAGAGTCAACTCCGTGGCAGCTAGCTAGCTACCCAGTAAAGCTGAAAATATACTTAGCAAATCTACTCTTACATACAAATCCTAGGCCTGTGCTGTCTAATATAGTAGTCACTGACTACATGTGGCTGCTGAGCACCTAGAAAGATGGCTGGTCTCAATTTGGGTATGAACATTGGATTTCATAGGCTTAATATGAAAAAAAGAGAATGTTAAATATCTCATTGATAATTTTAAAAATATTTTATGACATGTTGAAATGACAGTATTTTAGATTTCTCTGGGCTAAATAAAGTATATTCAAATTAATTTCACCCTTTAAAAAAAAATGAGTCGACTGTGGAAATTTAAAATTACAGATGACGCTCACAGTACATTTTATTGGCTGGCACTGCTCTGGAGAAATGTACTTATGTGCCCAAAGAGACTCTTCCCCATAGTGGAAGGATCAGAAATGAATGCTCACCAACAAGGAAACCCACGCAACACACAGCAGTTGAAATGAATGAGCTAGATGTATGTGAAGCAACACCGGCAAGTTTCAAAACAAATGTTGAGTGAGTTGCAAAATACATAAGATATGACACATACATACACTTAGATACATTTTAAAAGTATATGTAATGCCATAAAAAGATACAGATATGTGGTAAAAATACAAACTGCAGCCCCGAAGGCTACACGCCAAATTTATTCCAGTAGCAGCTTCTAGGGAGAACGGAAGGGCAGTTTTCGTTCCTTAGTTAAGGAAAGGTTTGCCATATATTTTCTGAGCTTAACATCTGTTAATTCTAGGAGGTGACCACACAGTTGTTTGCTACATCAAGATTTTCTGATCTGCATTTTTTTCTCTAATGAAGTAGCAAGGGAGTTCAGCTGCCGCAGGCTTCTGCTTCCCACCAAGGTGCTGGGGAAAGGGGGCTGCCCTTTAGTCCCCCCCCTCCCCAGATGACATTGCTTTCTGCAGAATCTTTGTGCTCCTCAAGGACCCAGATAGGCTGGCTACAAGGGGAAAGAGGGTGCTCATAGCATCATCTAGCCCTTGAGCCTCCCAAAGTGGCCGGACCTAGGGAAGCCAGAGAGGAGAAGGAAGACTGAATGTTTGGGGAGAAGCCAAGGCCAGAAAGTGCAGGTATTGGGCCCAGAGAAACTAGATGTTTCAAAAAGAAAAATCTTGGGAGAGAGGCAGGAAGAGATGGGGTTAAATTCCTTTTCCAGGGAGAGTACAGGCCCACTGGTGTTCTGAAGCTGCAGGAGATGTGTGAGACAGTTTGCAGTGTAGTAAATTACTTAGTGTGGCTTTTCTACCCATAAGTCTTTGTAAACTCCAAGGTGGGAATTGCTATTAGCAACTGAGGAGATCCTGATTTTAAAGTCGCCCACCTGG